CGTGCATGGGGGGGTGTCCCTCAGTTCAGCCTGCACCTTCTCCAATCTGGACCCCTACTGGGATTGTGCCTAAACAGGCAGTCAGACATCACTCTCACAATCCAGGACTGCTGGCTCTCTACTGCTCACCTGCCTGCCTTCCTGGTTGCCCCTAACCACTTCTGCTTGCCAACCTGATCACCCCTAACCACTCCCCTGCCAGCCTGATTGATGTTTAACTGCTCCCCTGCCAGCCTGTTTGCCCCTAACTGCCATCCACTGTAGGCCTGGCCTCCCCTAACTCTGCACTCCACTGCAGGCCTGGTCCCCCCAACTGTTCTCCCTTGCAGGCCTGGGTCCCCCCCAACTGCTCTTTCTTGCAGGCCCGGTAGCCCCCAACTTCCCTCCTCTGCAGGCCTGGTCACCCCTAACTGCCCTTCCCTGCTGGCCTGATCATCCACAACTGCCTTTCCTTGCAGGCCTGGTCCCTCCCAACTGTCCTCCCCTGCTGGCGGGCCATCTTGTGGTGGCCATCTTGTGTCCATATGGGGCAGCCATCTTTGACCACATGGGGGCAGACATCTTGTGTTTTGGAGTGATGGTCAATTTGCATATTACTTTTTTATTAGATAGATGTTGAATAGTCTTCTTTAAGAAGAAAAATGATAAAAATATGAATAAAGTGGTAATAAATATAATTCTATCAAAAACTGAATATAAAATCAAAATAAACAAGGAGTCTAATGAACAAAATAAACTGATGAATAAAATAGAACTAGAGGCATGGGAGCATGGAACAGACTGACAAATCTCAGATGGAAGGAAAAAGGTGGGCAGGAAGAGATTTACCAAATAGCATATGCATATATGCAAAAACCCATGGACACAAATAATAGAGTGGTGGAGGCCTGGGTCTGGGCAACATCCAGGTGGAGAAGGGCAATAGGGGGAAGAAAAGAGGAGGACATATAATATATAACACTCTCAACAATAAATATTTAAAAAAACAAATATTCTAAATTAGTATTTCTCCACTTAAGTTTATATACTGACTGTATGTTGTTAATAAATGTTGATTTTGAAATCATATAACCATAGTTCTCATCATTTTCTGTTCCAAACACACTCTTCTATGTTTTCTAGCATGATTTATGGTACAACCTTTTCCTAATCAATTTGGGGGTCATCAAATCATTTTCATCTACCCATCTGATCAGCCACTCAGTATCCTGTCCTAAAAGAGCTCATAGCCAGGTAAATAACTTGCATAAGCAATTATAATACAAACAGATGAGAGATACAATAAAGGTATTATTAGAAACTGTTAAAGTACCCAAGAGTCAGAGGACTTAGAGTCAGGAAACATTTTTGACAACTGATAAAAGTTTAAAAATTGAGTATTTCACTAAATAAACTCTGGGGAGAGGAGAAAGCCAATGTTGGGAATGGGAGTGCAGTGTGCAAAAGTTTGGCGCTATGAACAAACACAGGTTGGGAAATGAAAACAGCAAGCAGGGAGGCATAAGTGAAGAGAATGGTGGGGGCTAACGCTGCTCTCAGAGAACTGTGGTTTCATGCCATCATCACCTACCCAATCACACAAGTTGGAAGTCTGAAAGTTCATCCAAGATTCTGTCCTTTTCCTTCATGCCCCATTTGTAATCGGTCATCATGCCTAGGAGAACTGACCTTCTTCATTTCCCCTGAATCTTTTCTTTCTCTTGTTTCCTTCACTGCAACTCCTTTCCTGCAGGTTCTCTACATCTCATCTTACTGCAAAAGCCTATTATGACTGCTGCTTCCAGTCATGTCCCTTCCCATCCACTCTAGGCTCTCAGTGGACTGATCTTTTAGCAAGGAGGCTTCCATTTTCCAGGAAACAATCTTGGATTTCTCCCTTCATCCACCTCTTCTAAACTTCCAGAAAATTATTTTGTTCCTATGAAAGAAGTTAGAACATTCTATTTCATATTATAATTAGAGCTCAAAAGACATAAGCCATTCAATTTGTCTGCTTTATCTACCCTTCTGCACAGAGAGCCATGCTAACTGGGCAGTAGGTCATGGGACCTTGGACTCCTACCTCTAGTTAAAACTACTGACTAGGGCGAATAATTGTCTCAAGCTAGATCAATAAAATTTTCTATTGTAGATATTCTATATTATGATCTAGACTTTGGTTTGTGACCTGCAGAGGCCCAGCAGTGCCATTTTGGGGCCATGCAGGATATTGAGTAGGTAGGTGGCAACTGTTAAGAAGAAGAAGAATACAGCTTGTGTGTAAAAAGGGGTAGAGAAATGCTGGCTGGATTGGTCAGGTTAGTTGAGAGAGAAGCTTGATTCTTTGCCGCCATGTTAGTTAGTTCTAAGTTCTACAGGAGACCTGCCTATACTTCTGGCCCTGGATTTAAGGAGGACCACCAGTTTCTTATAATAATCTCCACTTTTATTTAAACCAGTTCAATTAGAATTCCATTTCTTGGAATCAAGTTAATCCTGTGACATTTTATGTACAAGTCCTTCCTCATTAGGCTATAATTTCTTTGAATAAAGGAACCATAGCTTTCCACCTTTCTATTTCTCACACAATATGACTTGCACACAGTTGATCAACACTAGCCTCATGAACTGAATTTAACTACAGAAGAAGTAGTTAAATTTGGACTTGAATGATTAGTAGCAATTAGACAGGCAGAGAAGTTTGATACTTCTAAGGGTAGAGTGTAGGGACAGGGAGAAAATTCAAAAGAAAGCCTCTTTGGCTAACCTCAGTTTTTAGGCATAGTTTTTTGCAGAAGCTAACCCACACATTTACACCCATAGCAAGTACTACCTTCACACTCCTGCTAGAAATCTGGCCAGGATGATACAGAAAACCTAGGCAGTCTCAGCCCAGCAGGTTCTGGTTGGGACACAGTGACCTCAGCTCCTAAAGACCAGTAACTGATAGCCAGAACCAATGGAAAGGCGACCACCACCATGTTCAGCAGCTGCAGCCCACACCCCTTAGGAGATAGATGTCATCTGAGAACTACAGCATGAAAACCTGCCATATTTTATTTCAGATACATTTTCTCTTTTTCACAAAGATTTTAAAAGTTATATTTCCATAAAAGATCATTTTTAATGTCTGTATAGTAAGAAAATAGAGGAAAAGCAAGCAAAGTTTTCCATCTAAGTATGAGAAACTTCCATTTTTTTATTTTGAAAAGAAAATAATTAACATATGGCTATTATTTTTAAATATTCTTTCTTAATATTCAGCAAATGTCCTTGCTGCATTAAAGGCTTGATTCCTTTTTAAATTATTAGTGTACTTTACCCATAAGAAAAAGAAATCTTGATGAAATAATGGATCAACTGTATTAAAAAAAAAAAAAAAAAAGGAACCTGCAAGGCCATTCTAGCAATAAAAGAAACTCACACCCTGAAGATATCCTGACTACACCCTTACAACTTGAAAACTAAGGAAGAAGTCCAATCAAATATACACAATGGGAAGTGACAGAAAGGCAGATAAAAGACAAGACTGGATTTCCTGCTGTGATGTGAAAGTCTTCCCTTTTCACTGCCAAACAGAGTATGGCAGCCACAATCAACAGAGGCCAGGTGGCATAGCTACTATCAGGCCTTTCGAGTTAATGGTGAGAAACTGGCAAGCCTCTGAGAAGAGCTATTTAGAGCTAAAGGGATTGACGTCACTTTTGGATAATGATTTAGGCTTTAAAAAATGATGACATTGTAATCACACCACATGAGAGTAAAAAAGAAAGTACAACTGTTCCTAAGTGGTTCTCAGATCATATAAATCATGATGATCTTCATATCACTGAGAGTGGTATGGGATAAATTGCATTGGTATGACATACAGATTTGATCTGGCTTACTTCACTAGGCATAAGAGACTTAGTATAGAATAAACTTGATCAAAGCAGCACACTTGGGCATCCATTCAGCGTTGTACTCATAACCATAGAACATTCCCAGGAGGCTCCATCCTATATAAGCTAGATGATGAACAAGCAAATCACCAAAATAGACAAAAAGTGTCAGAAAAAATGTTCTAACTTGTATGCTTTTATTTTCATTTCCTGAAACATAAACTAGACATCATCTATAATAATAATAAAAGAATAATATGCTAATTAGACCAGACAGCACAATGACCTACTGGACATCCTTCCAGATGACCTTTGGACGAAGCTGGGGCTGAGAGGGCCAAGGCAAGCCTCCATGGCTGCAAGGGATGAGCCCCTTGCACAAATTTCGTGCATCAGGCTTCTATTATAGTCAATAATAAAGAGCTAAAGATTTAGCTAAAATTTAAGATTGCTTTTCTTTCAAAATGAATACCAATTATAACACAGGCTCAGCATTTGATCAAACAGCTGGGCCCAGCAGTTTCTTCAGATCAAAATAAAGTGGCTATCCATGATGTTCTGCAACTACATAATCTATATTTAAGTTAGATTGGCTTCTGATACCTTCTGTTAAAAAATGGTACCATTTTCCTGCTTATTGTAAGGTAATTTAGTTTTTAATGCCATAGGTGAAAACTCTGAAGATTAGTGTCAAAAAAGCACATCATTCAAATATCCCTTCATATTCAGATTTAAAACATAAGAGACCGGGATCCCCTAAATATGCCTTGAACTTGCATATATTAACACTTAGTGTCTGAAAGGATGGGTCTGATTGTTTGATGTGATGAATTCTTTGCAGTTCACAAATACAAACAGGATACATGATAGGAAATATATATGTATAGGTTCAGTATGTGCTTATATTTTATGTCAAAAAAACAAACTGAAAAGGTGATTGCCTCGCAATTCGAGGAACCTATAGGTAACCACTTGAGGTGGTAGCTAAGGTCAATTTCTTAAGAACCAGGACCAAAATATGTAAAGTACCCATGATTTAATAAGAAATAATATTTAAAATATAACAAAAAAGTTTACCTAAAGGCCCCCTGAACCAATCTCTGTGTGGAATCTGCGGTTTTCTTGCCAGAGCTCACCTACCCTAAGGCAAAATTGCTGTCCTCCTTCCAGTCCACAATGCGGCAAATGAACAGTGTATTGGCATAATCTTTAGGTCGGGTCATAAAGTCTTGGGGACAGTCCTTGAGAGGCACGTATATTCTAGGCACTCGGTGATCTGAGGGAGAAAACAGGGCATATTTCCTGAATAGTTCACTGTTCTTATCAGCCAGAAGTTTGATGAAGCCAGTTGCTGCTCGGGAATGCTTTTTCTCCACGATATAAACCACCTGCAAAAACCAAAGACATACTCAATGCTGTTTATTTACAGGACTGGGGACAGTTGAGAGAGGTCAGCAGGAAATTATTTGGTCAACTAGCTAGGTCCAGCAATTTTTCTAGGTCTATATGAAGTGCCTCTCAGGGAAGCTGTGTGACTAAGCAGTTCCTATTTCTGTTGGTGGGGGACTGTGAAGTCCCCTGCTGCTATGTTGTTCCCCTAGCCTGGAGCCCCTAACTAGTTGCCTTCCTCTTTTCTCCTTTCAAAATTCTTCCTTGGTTGTCTCTGGTTATTTTCCAGGGTTTATAGTTGTACTTAGTAGAGAAGAGCAAGGAGAAATAAATCTATGGCATCTTGTCTGAACCAGAAGTCCTTGCTTCTAGTTTTAATATTTGACGGCATGAGAAGTGTATAAAGCAGCTTGACATTACTTATATTTCATACATTAGTTGTCATAAAAATGACTTGACCACAGCATAGTTTTCCTATACACATGTTGTTTGGGCTTGTAATTTTAGTTTGAATTCATTAAGAAACTATCCTTCCATTTCCCCACCTCTCATGAAAAAAAAAAAAAAAAAAAAAAAAAAAAAAAAAAAAAAAAAACAGCCAGAGAGAGAGAGTACCATTGGAGGGCAGTAGCAAATTACAGAACACAAGTTCCATTTCCAGCTGCCTCTATTCAGCTCTGACTAAAGTCATTTCAGAATGTGGCCCAGTGCTGCTGATGTTTTGCTTTGTCAGAAGCCAGAAGTCTAATTTTTTTACGTGACCACTCTAATTTTTTTTTTTTAATGTAAGCTACCAAATAAAAATCTTTAAATACTTCTCAGGTCAAATAAAACACAAGTTTGTTAGCCAGATCTAGCCCACAGGACTTCCATTCATTATAATCTTCCACACCTCACATACTGTCTGTCACATGGTTAATACTGAAAATGCTTATTAAAATAAAGATCTAACTAACTGGATGGGGAATTGTGGGTAACATGTGGTCGGCAAACTCATTAGTCAACAGAGCCAAATATCAATAGTTCAACAATTGAAATTTTTCTTGAGAGCTGAAAACTGACTTCTGTGTATGGGCCATGAAGTTTCAATCGCACTGTATGTGCACGCCCGCACATGATATTTTGTGGAAGAGCCACACTCAAGGGGCCAAAGAGCCGCATGTGGCTCGTGAGCAGCAGTTTGCCGACCAATGCCCTAGACTGAGCAGCAAAACTGCATTCCCCAGGTTAAACATGCTGTCCATGCTTTGGGTAGGGGAAGCCTCACGCCATTATGCCACCTCATTCTTTGCCAGTGTACTACTTCCTCCACCATGAGCTACTTAGCTAGGGTCAGCTGTGTTTGATCTCATATCTGATTACGCCACTGCATATATAATTAAACAATAAAATTGAATTATGCAAAACAACAAAATCAATTGTTTACAATTCTATGATAACTAAATTAAACACTTAGGAAAAATTAAAAAAGACTTCTTAAAAACCTACTTTTGAATTACATATGAACATGGCAACTAAAAAAGTGGCACCCTGGCTGGGTTACTCAGATGGTTCGAGTATCATCCCATACACCAAAAGGGCGAGAGTTGCCGAAACTGGTTTGGCTCAGTGGATAGAGTGTCAGCCTGCGGACTGAAAGGTCCCAGGTTCGATTCCGGCCAAGGGCACATCCCCAGTAGGGGGTGTGCAAGAGGCAGCTGATCGATGACTCTCTCTCATCGATGTTTCTAACTCTCTATCCCTCTCTCTTCCTCTCTGTAAAAAATCAATAAAATATATATTTTTTTTAAAAGGGGGCGGGGGGTCGGGGGACAAGAGTTGGATTCCTGGTCAGAGCTCATACCTAGGTGATGGGTTTAATCCCAGGTCAGTGGGAAAATGGAAGGCAATCAATCGATATTTCTCTTACCTCTCTTCCCTCCCCTCTCTCTAAAAATCAATGAACATGTCCTCGGGTGAGGATTAATTAATTTTAAAAATAATGAAGAATAAAAACTATAAAAATTAGAACATTAATATTGATTCCTTCACCAGTGCCTAAATTCTCACTCCACTTTAAATAACCCAAACTGGAATCACAGATGTCACATTACAAGTGTAGTTTAAGCAAAAATAAATTAATTAATAATGCAGAACTTCAATAAACTTTTCACAAAGAAAAGGCCTTGGTCCTTCATCCAAAGGCAGGCAAATGAACTTATTACATGTTTATAGTTATAAAAAAAAGATTTACTCTTTATAATACCCTGCTTCTACTGATTGTTCTAATTAGTAATTTACTAACTACAGCCCTAAGTGTCCCATGAGAGACCTTTGACAGGTAGCTCAGGTGACAGCCTTTTGGACAAATGGGGAAATCTGTAGCCAATGACCTTTGCTGATCTTTGCAGCGACCTCTCTGGTGAAGCCCTTGTGTCCTGTGCCATGGAGGTGCTCTCAACTTTTGCACTTGGTGCCCCAGCATCCGTTTCTCCTTAATTAAAAACAAAAAGAAAAAGAGAGAACAGGAGGAATAAGACACGTATTAGGCATAATGTATTAGTCATAATATATCAGGCATACAGACTCGTGGTATTTTTAAGTTCAGATCTACAGAATTCTTGGATACCATTTACTTCAAACTACTCATTTTAAGGGAATGAAAACCCAGGCCCTCACTGGTTATGTGACTTGGCTAAGGTCAATCACATCACCTACTTGCATTAATGCTCACACTCAGCAGGCCATATTTTACCCATTTAACACTATTCATAAGCTAAATATCATATGTATGGAGAGCATCGAACTACGTTGAGTTAAACTTAAATCACCTATGTGTCAAAATGCCAAAAATACTACATGTTAAATAATGTGCCTGCCCACAATGAAAAATAGAGATAGGTTATTTTATTATGTATATCTGCTGAAATAAAACAAAATCAAAACAAATGTTAACTTTTTAAAGTATTTTGGTATCAGCCATGACAAACAAAATGGTGGAAAATAAATTATACTTATACTATACTAGAGCCCTGATGTATGAAAATTCATGCACTGGAGGAAGGTCCCTCAGCCTGGCCTAGCCCCCTCTCACAGTCCAGGAGCCCTCAGAGGCAGCAGGTGACCCAGTGATCAAAGGAAAGTGACGCCCCATCACACCTCTGCTGCTGGCATTGCCAGCAGCCCAAGCCTCAGCTGGTTACTTGAGCCTCAGGTGGCCCTGGGCAGCTGGGCAGCCACCATCCAAGGCTTGCCTGCACTTTGGGTGGCTGGGGGGCTGAGAGGACTTTGGGAGGCAGGGTTAAGGGGACTGGGTACCACCATCTTGTGGCTGTGGGCAGGACAGTCAAATTAGCATATTCCCTCCTTATTGGCTATGGGCACTGCCAGCTTTTGCAATGGCATGAGGGTCAATTAGCATATTCCCTCTTTATTAGATAGGATAATAAAAGCCTAATATGATAAGTGTCTGATTGGCTGGTTGGCTGTTCAACCAAACAAAGCATAATATGCTAATGATATGCTAAGGCTACTTAACCACTCCCTATGACATGCACTGACCACCAGGAGGCAGACAGTGGACCAGTTGACCAGTCATTATGATGTGCACTGACCACAAGGGAGCAGACGCTCCAACCAATGGTAGATTAGCTTGCTGCTGGGTCTGGCTGATTGGGGCTGAACAAGATGGGCTGGAGCCCTACCGTGATCCTTCCCCTGCTGGGCAGCCTCTTGCGTCCCTCCCTGGCCCCAATCTTGCATCAGTGAGGTCCCTTGGACTGACCTGAGCCCTCTTGCAATCTGGAACCCCTCAGGGGATGTTGGAGAACTGGTTTTAGTCCAATCCCGCAGGCCAAGCCGAGGGACCCCACTGGTGCATGAATTCGTGCACCAGGCCTCTAGTTAAATAAATAAATAAATAAAAATGCCAAGCCTGATTTTCCTGGCTTTCTTAGTGACATTATATAAAGAGTAAAGTACTTAAAGTCTTTTAATGTTTAAATTCCTTTCTTAAAAAACTTATAAAATGCACATTCACCCAAGAAACTGAAATCACATTTCTCCAGTAAAGAGAATTAGGCTCTGTACCAGAAGTATTAAAACCACTCATGAACAAAAGCAGCAAATTACACACTTTTGAACATTTAATATTTTGTATTTTCATGTGTTACATTAAATTTCCCCCATGCCAAAAAATAGTCTTAGACAACTATACTAGAGTTTTTGGATTTGGTGGTATCACAACCAATTCATGTGGGACCCATTTCAGAGAGCCAAGAGAGACTTGTATTTATCATCAATTAGATATTACCAATGCCAAAATAAATAAATAACTTATTTTAAGGACCAGCTGCCTCTTAGAAAGCCTCAGCTTAAAGCAAATTTTTTAAAATATATTTTTATTGACTTCAGAGAGGAAGGGAGAAGGAGAGAGAGACAGAAATATCAATGATGAGAATCATTAATCGGCTGCCTCCTGCACGCCTCCTATTAGGAATCGAGCCCGCAACCTGGACATGTGCCCTTGACTAGAATCGAACCTTGGACCCTTCTGTTGGCAGGCTGATGGTCCATCCACTGAGCCAAACCAGCTAGGCTGAAAGCCAATTTTTATGATTGTGAGCATACTCTGGAAACACTGACATGATCTGACCTACAGGGCTTAAGAACAACCAACCGTTTGCTTTTCCACTGTATCTACCATAGTGCCCACTGAAAGCAAAATTTTCATTTTTTACCAAAAGGAAAAAGCAAATAACATTCCCATTATTGATCACGCTGTCCACCAGTAAAAGAGGGGATTCAGCCTGACCGGCGTGGCTCAGTGGATGAGCATCGACCTATGAACAAGGTCACAATTCGGTGTTCAGGATTCCAAAAAAATCATTGGATGCTTCCAGAACAACACCTCTTATACTCTTAGGGAGAAAAACCCATACAAGTTTTTGATCTGGTCCATACATATCTTGCCAATATGTTCTGCAGAACAGGTAATTCAGGAAAGATAATGAGCCTGGAATTACTATGAACACAAGAGTTGGTAGTCAATACAGGGTAGTAAGGGTTTTTCCAATGTACCCCAAATCCTAGGCATAAAGCCTTCTGATGGTTCTATCTTCTGACTGTTGGTTTAAATTCCATTCCAACAACAAGCAAATCTTCAGTTCCAAAGGTTATGCCAGGCTGTATCCAAAGAAAGAGGGCAAGCCACGGCAGTGGGCCCAATCATGACTTTCAGATATCATACCTGAACATTACCTTTTCAGGTTCTATATTCATAAAAAAATATCCTAGCAGAAATAAGGCTTTGTTCAGACAAAGATACATTTTTGGTGTTGAACTACTAAATTAAACTAAGTTTACAGCCTTGAGGGTGAACATCATAGATGAGCTCAATAAATATGAAGAAGCACAATGCCAGTTTAGAAAGGTGAATCATCTTAAATATATTTTATTAATTTTTCACAGAGTGGAAGAGAGAGGGATAGAGAGTTAGAAACATTGATGAGAGAGAGTCATCGATTAGCTGCCTCTTGCACACCCCCTACTGGGGATGTGCCCGCAACCAAGGTACATGCCCTTGCCCGGAATCGAACCCGGGACCTTTCAGTCCGCAGGCCGACGCTCTATCCACTGACCCAAACCGGTCCCGACAAGGTGAATCATCTTAATAGGTTTCCCACAACTACATTTCACCACACTGAGTAGAAAAGTTGCCAATTTAATGAGAAAATCTATTGCATTGTTTAATCTCAAGATCACTTATTTATCTGGTTTTGGTATTAGGGTGATGCTGGCTTCATAGAATGAGCTTGAAAGTGTTCCTTCCTCTTGAATTTTTTGAAATAGCCTGAGGACAGGTTTTAGACAGGTTTTCCTTGAATGTTTGGTAAAACTCCCCTGTGAAACCATCTTGCCCTGGGCTTTTGTTTGCTGGAAGCTTTTTGATGACTGCTTCAATTTCTTCCATGGTTATTGGCCTATTGAAATGTTTAGATTCTTCCTGATTGAATTTTGGAAGGTTATATTTTTCTAGGAATATATCCATTTCCTCCAGGTTGTCCAGTTTATTGGAAAAGAGTTGTTCAGATCTCACACATCTAGAGGAAATAATGAACAACACAAACAGACCCAGAGAAAGAGAACCAGCGATCAGACTCTCAAACCTCAGAGGGAAAGTAAGGGTGGATGGGGGTAAGAGGAAGAGATCAACCAAAGGACTTGTGTGCATACATATGGGCCTAGTCAGTGGCCATGGACAATGGGAGTGGGGGAGGAGGGGCGGCATATCTAGGGAGGGGTTTGGGATGGGAATGGGGGAATAAGGACAATTATGTGAAACCACATCAATAAAATAAAATAAAAAAGAGTTGTTCATAGTATTTCTTAACAATCCTTTGTATTTTGCTGGGGTCTTTCTATGTTGTTGTTATTTCTCCTCTTTCATTTCTGATTTTGTTTATTTGGGTCGTCTCTCTTTGCTTCTTGGTGAGCCTGGCTACAGGTTCATCAATCTTGTTTATCCTTTCAAAGAACCAGCTCTTGGTTTTGTTGATCTTTTGTATTGTTTTTTTGTTTTTGTTTTTTGGTCTCAATGTCATTTATCTCCACTCTGATCTTTATTATTTCCTTCCTTCTGTTTACACTGGGCTTTTGTTGTTGCTCTTTTCTAACTCTTTGAGTTGTAGGGTTAGGTAATTTATTACTATTGTTTCTTATTTTTTGCAGTAGGCTTGTAGAGCTATGAACTTCCCTCTCAAGACTGCTTTCGCTATGTCCCATAGATTTTGGATTGTTGTGTTTTCATTGTCATTTGTTGCCATGATGTTTTTTATTTCTTCTTTGATCTCTCTGGTAACCCTGTCATTGTTTAATAGCATGCTGTTTAATCTCCATGTGTTTGATTTTTTTGGATTGTTTTTATTACAGTTGATTTCCAGTTTTATGCCACTGTAATCTGAGAAGATGCTTGATATGATTTCTATCTTCTCGAATTTGAAGAGACTTTGCCTATGACCTAACATATGGTCTATCTTTGAAAATGACCCATTGCACTTGAGAAGAATATATATTCTGTGGCTTTGAGACATATGAAAACATGCTTAAAGTCACTAATTATGCAAGAGATGTAAATCAAAATGACAATGCAGTACCATCTCACACTTGTCAGAATGGCAACCATCAACAAATCAATAAATGACAAGTGCTGGCAAGGATGCTGAAAAAAGGAACCCTCGTGCACTCCTGGTGGGAATGCAAACTGGTACAGCCACTGTGAGAACAGTATAAAGTTTCCTCAAAAAACTAAAAATGAAGCTCCCATTTGACCCAGTAATCCCACTTCTAGGAATATATCCCAAGAAACTAGAAACACCCATTAGAAAGAATATATGCACTCCTATGTTCATAGCAGCACAATTCACCATAACTAAGATTTGGAAACAGCCTAAATGCCCATAAGCAGATGAGTGGATTAGAAGACTATGGTAT